TTATTTTTGTGACGTGTTCTACACCCAATGGTACCTATGTATACATATATATATAATGCATACTAGACTGGGCCAAAAAAATTGACTATTTTTTTTTTTTGAAAAATATATCGAGAATGTCATTCAGAATGACAAATAAAAAATTTCGTGAAAATTTGAGCCCTTAATATTAATTTTAAGAGGTCTATCATCGCTATTTTTGATTTTTAGTCATAATTTTATGTTTTGCGTTAGAACTGTCAAAACATTAAAGTGAAAAAAATTCCTTTTCACTTATTTTTATATAAAATTAAAGTCTCTACAAAAAAGGTCTGATTGAAAATTTTCGTCAGACGAGCCGTTTCCGAGTAATTGAGCTCAATAAATCGATGTGTTTTTTCGATTTGCCCTTTTTACTTTGAAATTTTGTAACTAATGAATAAATGAATATTTTAAAAAGCTCACGTCGGATTCTTAAAGGAAATTTAATGTTCTATAAAAAAGGTCTCTTAAAATTTTGCCTAAATTTAATTCTTCAAAAGTTATTCACGATTAAAATCGAAGAAAAACTTAAAATTTCAATTTTTTCTTCGTGAATAACTTTTGAAGAATTAAATTTAGGCAAAAATGTTAAGAGACCTTTTTTGTAGAACACTAAATTTCCTTTACGTGAGCTTTTTAAAATATTCATTGATTCATTAGTTACAAAATTTCAAAGTAAAAAGGGCCAAATCGAAAAAACACATCGATTTATTAGGCTCAATTACTCGGAAACGGCTCGTCTGACGAAAATTTTCAATCAGACCTTTTTTGTAGAGAATTTAATTTTATATAAAAATAAGTGAAAAGGAATTTTTTCACTTTAATGTTTTGACAGTTCTAACGTAAAACATCAAATTATGACTAAAAATCAAAAATAGCGATGATAGACCTCTTAAAATTAATATTAAGGGCTCAAATTTTCACGAAATTTTTCATTTGTCATTCTGAACGACATTCTCGATATATTTTTCAAAAAAAAAAATAGTCCATTTTTTTGGCCCAGTCTAATGCATACATATATACAGGGTGATTCACCTAACTTATTCATTAGAAGTTTATGGAGAACGGAAAAAGATATCGATTTGAAATTTGTATAGCAATTATAAGCCAATGTAAACTAATTTTTAAAATTATTTTCAATGCTTTATCACTTCCGGTTAAACCGGAAGTTATATCAACTTTGGTTTTTCAAATGGAACCATATAAATATTATTGCATTTTTGAATTCTACGTAAAATTCTAGAAATACTAAAATTTGATTATTTTTTTTATTTTTAACAGTTTTTGAGATATTTAATTTTTTTTTTAAATTTTGACAGATGGATTGTCTTACTAATATGTCTGTATTACCACTAATTGTAATGTTAAAAAGTTAATTTTTGGTGTAACAATTAACTAAGGAGCACTCTATCGAAAGCCATTAATAGTATTTGAAAATTTTATACAGGGTGTCCGGTATTTACGTTGACTTTTTTGTCACTTAAAATACCAATAACTTTCTTATTTCAAATGTAACTACCATACAATTTTCATATTATTGGACACAAAATAATGTTTTCTATTCAAATGCTGCAGCATTCCCTATACCTAAAATCAATATTTACAGAGATATTACAAAAAATGTGAAAAAACCGCTTATTTTTTTATTTCTAATATGAGTAGTGTGCGTTGGATTGTCTTTTATTTCGTATTTATGAAGTAATGTCAATGTCAACGTCTCTGACAGTTGTGTTACAATGGATGATAATAATTACACTAATCAAGATATTCTAAACATGTTTTATACATATGGCGAGTGCGGAAAAGTTTTAGAAAGGACAATAAGAACTTTTAATGAGAGGTATCCCAATTTAACCCCACTCACCAAAATTAAATTCCGGACGATAGAGAACAGATTTATTAATCATGGCGCAGTAAAAGTAAAACGAAATAGGCAAAAACTGGTGACAGGCAACGAAGATAATCAAATCAACGTCTTGGGATTTTTAAATGCAGAGCCCCAAGGGTCCATCAGAGGAGTTGAAGCTGCCCTTGGCATTCCATACATCTGCCCAGCGGATACTTAAGAATACCGGAATGCACAACTACAAGTTCCTAAAAGTGCAAGGCCTTGAAGATGCAGATTTTCAAAGAAGGGAGCGGTTTTGCACGGAGTTTCTGGGCAATGTTGATGAGGATAACTCTTTTCTGGGAAAACTTATATGGACAGACGAAGCCAAATTTTCCAGAGAAGGCATTGTTAATTCAAGAAATCAACACTTTTGGTGTGCTGAAAATCCACATGTGGTCCGGCAAGGGAATTTCCAAAAAAAATTTAGTTTTAACGTTTTTTGTCTGTTGATGAAGGATAAATTTTCATTTTGTATCTACGAAGAGAACCTGACATCAGAAAAATACCTGGAAATATTGAATTCGACGGTAAGCGAATTTTTGGATGAACTGCCTTTAAGGGAAAGGTTTCTTTGCTGGTACCAATTGGATGGCGCGCCGGCACATTGTTCTAGAAGAGTTTCGGAAAATTTGCAAACATTATTTAACGAAAAATGGATTAGAAGAGGTGGTCCATGGGAATGGCCTCCAAGGTCACCGGACCTAACACCTTTAGATTTTTATCTTTGGGGTGTTATAAAAGCTAAAGTTTATCAAACACCCAGCAACAGCAAAGAATCTCTTGCTCAGAAAGTGAGACAAGCGTTTTCGGAATTGTCCCATGAAGAAATTTTGAGAACAACTTCTGAAGGTGTCTTGCGACGTATCAATATGTGTCGTGAACAACACGGGCGATACATTGAACAATTACTTTAGATTTGTTTTATTTGTTACATTTGTTTATTTTTTTAATATAATTTTTGAATTTTAAATTGATATTTCTTTTAACGTTGTTTAATACGAAATAAAAACAATCCAACGCACAATACTGATTATACACAAAAAGTTCCTATTGTTCTTTCTAAAACTTTTCTTTTTTGATTAGTGTAATTATTATCATCCATTGTAACACAACTGTCAGAGACGTTGACATTGACATTACTTCATAAATACGAAATAAAAGACAATCCAACGCACACTACTCATATTAGAAATAAAAAAAATAAGCGGTTTTTTCACATTTTTTGTAATATCTCTGTAAATATTGATTTTAGGTATAGGGAATGCTGCAGCATTTCAATAGAAAACATTATTTTGTGTCCAATAATATGAAAATTGTATGGTAGTTTCATTTGAAATAAGAAAGTTATTGGTATTTTAAGTGACAAAAAAGTCAACGTAAATACCGGACACCCTGTATAAAATTTTCAAATACTATTAATGGCTTTCGATAGAGTGCTCCTTAGTTAATTGTTACACCAAAAATTAACTTTTTAACATTACAATTAGTGGTAATACAGACATATTAGTAAGACAATCCATCTGTCAAAATTTAAAAAAAAAATTAAATATCTCAAAAACTGTTAGAAATAAAAAAAATAATCAAATTTTAGTATTTCTAGAATTTTACGTAGAATTCAAAAATGCAATAATATTTATATGGTTCCATTTGAAAAACCAAAGTTGATATCACTTCCGGTTTAACCGGAAGTCATAACGCATTAAAAATAATTTTAAAAAGTAGTCTACATTGGCTTATAATTGCTATACAAATTTCAAATCGATATATTTTTCCGTTCTCCATAAACTTCTAATGAATAAGTTAGGTGAATCACCCTGTATATATAATGCATTTTGAACTAAATAAAGATTATTATTATTATTATACTTTAACATTATCACATATACATATAGTATAGTATAGTCAGGTACCATCTTAAATATAAACACAGCAACATCAAACATGAATTTTTGTTTTACAGATTACATATTTACCACATCTAACATAATTTTTATACATATATTTACTACATTTTAAAATGAATCTCATGGCTCTATTTTGTATAATTTGAGTTTGATCTTTTTTATTGGGTAGGACATATAACAGTGTTGGACAAAATTGTAAATCTAGTATGAAATTACATATTTTTGGTGACTGCCTATAAAATTAACAGTTTGTGAATATTTCCTCATAACACTACTAAGAACTACTCCTAAATATTTATTTTTTTTTGCACACAATTTTTTCATTATTAATAAAAACATTTATTTAATTTAAATCCACATTAGAAAATCTAGATTTTTTTACCGAAAACACAATATTTTGACTTTTTAGCATTAATACCCAAATTGCGTAAATATTGTTAGCATTGCTGCACATCTAAATATTAGTCACAAAAAATCAGCAGTGGATCATCTGCAAAGAAAACTTGGGCAACGTTTCGTCGAACACCCGGTAGAGCTGGCTGGCAGGGGCATCAAGACTCCGAAGCTCATCTTCGAGTCCACCAATCCCCACCGAGTGGTAAGTAGGTTACCTCTGTGTAGATCTACTACAGGTACAGTTAGTTCTTGCTTGGAGGGGGTTCTTCGCTGCGAGAGCCGATGGTAGGGTCCTCGATGGCCAGTAGCACCTCAACTGCCACAAGGTGCATGTTGGTTCCCTTCGGATATCGCAGATTTTTTTCGAAAAACCACCCCTTCGTCTGCGCCGCCGAAGCAACGCCGCCACCCCAATTTGGGCATGTGATTCAAGTGCCACGTGATTAGTACACCTACATCTCGTCATTTGTCGGATGGGGTTGTTTTTTCTTTAAGGGCGAGATTTTCAAGTTAGTGCCTTTTTGGGTTTGTACAATTGTGACAAAGATAGTGACTGATGTAGTGATATGCATAAGGATATTCTTATTGGACCACTGACACGCTAACATACTTTAGACGACATCAAGTTATTCAGTTCTCTTCAAACGCACTGTGATGTATTTTAAGAAGAAGATCAAAATTTTCAACAAACCGAAACGTTAAGGATGTGATATTCGAGCGACAATTACTTCACACAAGTGCCCTTTTTGGATTCAAAATTTATCAACGCAACGCATTTTAGTTTGAAATTTTTCCGTAAATCGTACATTTGGAACGAGTGACATTTGTTTATGCAGAGAGAAAAAACAATAGACTGTTGAGCCGGATGTGAATAGTGTTAAATTGCGGATACCATCACAGTGACCTATTTACTTATTATTTGGAATTATTAGATTGGTAAGTGCACTTTTGTTTTGTCTGACTCAGAACACAGAAAGAATCAACAAACTGCCTTGACAATGACCGAAGGCCATCCAAGTTACACATTTATTTAAATTATTATTTTGTTGAGCCGCGGCACTTACGCGCATACATATTCATGAGAAATATTAATAACCTCACTTAATAACAGGTTTCACGAAAATATGCCCTGATTGATATGTTAATATGATATTTTGTACGCTATTTATTTTCAATTTAATGCTTCCAAATTTTTCCTAAATTAAAACGCGATGCATACTAAATATCTAACCTACTTACTTAATAAAAATGTCTGCGCATTCAAGTATGCGCAAATATTAGTTTGATTTTGCAGTTAACTCAAACCAATATTCAGTCCGTTAAATTATCTAATAAAAAAATAAAGACATAAAAATAATTTATAATAATTTAAAAAGTTACACTACCACATGCTTAACCTACTTCAAAACTTTTCTGCGCACCAAATTATTCACGTCTGCGCAAAACCCATTTTTTCGATACCATTGAACATAAAACAAATAAACCAGTCTTGGAACCTACATTATATTGCTATTTTTATTTTTCGAGTATTATGAATAAAACAATTCGATATGTATAAATTAATTACGCAGGGAAATGTATTCATTCATAACCTACAATAATTTTTACATGAGTGCATTAAATTACCTTTATTTGTGTCAATGTACTCGCTAGTAGGAAATCATTTTTATACAAATTACTTCAAAACACGACATTTTTATTTGTTGTACACTTAAAAACAAATATATTTACATGAAAAAATCTCTATAAATAGTATATTACAATTTAATAAAAAATAAAATGCAATATTTTAATACAATTCTTCAGTATTTTTATATTACCTAAATAATTTTTTCAAATAGGTATACCATATATTATAAAACTAAACAAATAGTGCTATTTGAAAAAATTATTTAGGTATAAGTACATATATTTTGGTATCAGTTCGAATTTGTATTGTTTTTGAATAGCCTACAATCTTAAATCTAAATATTAAAAAAAAATGGTTGTTATTATCATAAAATGAAGTGCTTTTTATAATAATATAACTTATCAGTTTGTTTGGGTACTACCTAAGAAAACATTAATATTTAAATAGGCAAATCCTTAATCTTCTAGTTTCTTTTTAGATTACTTTAAAGTAGTTGGTTATTTTAATTTCTTGCATCTCAAGACTTCTCTACGAGAAGTTAAACTTTTACGTCTTGTGGTACCTTAAGGTTGATGGCAGTGGCCCCCGTAAGAGCGAAGACCTTTGAAGGAATCCTTAGTACAAAGGCGCAAGATACGAGTAAAGTATGCGTTGGCAAATGTAGGTCATTGGACCACTTGGTCCCCCCTCGACTCGACTTGGGCCCCCCTCGACGCCCCCCACCCCCTTACCAGAGTCTGCCGCGCGCACCGGCCTGCTCTTCCGGTTTTGGTACCAATGGGTGCTCTCGGTACGCACACCGAGATTAACCTCCAAGGTTTACGATTTCTTTACACAAAATAAAACAAGAAGAAAATACAAAATTTGTAAATTTTAAAAGTAATTTTTTTTATTTTTAAGTTTAATGTATAAGAAATATGTAGGTATATATACATGAAAAATTATTTCGAACCAAAAATATTTCAATGCTCTATCTACTTCTGCATTGACAAGCTGCAAAAGTGCAGGCTTTTTAGTCACGGGCTTAAGTAAGCTTTACATACATTTGAAAAAAGTGAGGTTTAATCAGTCTGAGCGAGTGTAAAAATTAATGTTTAGAAAAGTTTACTAAAACGAAAAATATTATAAAAAATAATTTATTATTAGTTAATTTAAATATTTGAATAAAGCCTTATCTATACGAAACTAAAGTAACCAAAATTGGTGCCACCTTTAATACGCCCATTATCGTACATGTTTTCATGACAATAAGCTGTGACTTAATGGCGTCTTAGCCAAGTGCTAAAGTTAGCAACAGGTTTTTAGTCAGGGGCTGAAGTTACCTTTAAGTTAGTTGACAGTAATCGAATGCCATACAATTGTCAAAATATTCCTGTAAAATAAAAGTAAATGTAAAACGTTTGAACTGACCTTTTGATTTCGCCGGCAGTAAACTAGATTTAACTTAATTTTGGGTGGAGAGTACACCGTGAAAAAACTGCTTCTATATTTGATTAAACGGTCCATTTTCAAGGGATACATTTCGATTTACTCATAGAAATTTAACATTTGAGATTTCCAAGTTGGTTACTCTATTGTTTTATAGATGTCGCACTATACAAATATTTAATTTAAATCATTTTAGATAATAATAAGTATTTGTCGTAAAAAAAGTATAGTAAGCAACTCGTTTATAAACCTTTCTAGACCCTCATTTAATTAAACACTCGCTCGCAAGCTTTATCGTTTAGTCACGGGCTGAAGTTGGCAGCGGTGGCTTTTGGCCATTTTAGTCACGGACTGAAGTTAGCTTTATTATAAATTGTGGAAAAAGTGAGGTTAAATCCATTGAAAGTGTGAAATGTTTAACAAATAAAACTTGGCTTTAAATTCTTTTTTGCGTTTGTCGTAGATAAAGTATAGTATGCAGCTCGTTTTATAAACTTCTCTGGATACTCGTTTTTATTAAACACTCGCTTGCAAGCTTCGCTTGTGCCTAATAGGACTCGTAACTTAAATGTCGTTTATAAAATTTAATACATAATATACTATTATAATGGTAGGTAAAAATTCACTTGTTCGTTAAATTAAAATACCGTTATTAGTGAAGTTCTACAGATAGAGATTTATTACTTTTTTTTTCTTTTTTAAAATATATTTATATACTTTAATTATATTATATAAAATAATAATACAATGCAAAAAACTTAAAAGTATAAAATTTAGTTATCTTAGTAAGACCACAGGGAAATTAAAGTTAGTGTGTGTGTGTGTGAGAGATTATTTGGCTTGAGTTTTCACTCCTTTGCCACAGATTTTTATATTATATGTATGTTTTAGCTACTTAAATAAGAAAACCAATCACAAGATAATTTAATTAAACTTTTTTAAAAATCTAATTAACTATGAAATTAAACGGGTTGGGAAAATTTAACTAGGAATTACAAGGATACACGCTTCACGCCTAGGTGTCTTTCAAGGCGACTTTATTTACTAAACATACAGGTTGACAACGGATCATGGGAGGGCCACATGAGGTTATACAATAGGAGAGCTAGGGTTTGTAAGTTAGGCTAAGTAGTTTATATATTGATTTTACTTTCTCTAAAAAAGGTTATTAGTGCTTTATATATATCTTCCTTTTCTAATGCTAATAAATGAGTTAAGTTGTATGGCGGAAAGACAGAAATGTCACAAAGAGATTTATTTAGATTATTTCTAAAATTTTGGTATATTGGGCAGTTAAATATTAAGTGGTTTAAGTCAGCAACAGTAGTATGGTTGCACGAACAAAATGGGGAATTATTAATTCCAATTCGATGCAGATGTGAAGGAAAACAGCCGTGATTTAGTTTTAATCTGGAGATTGTTGAAGAGAAGTATTTTCCAGTTGCATACACATTATTTATTATTTTATTAGGCAATACTGGGTGAATTAGTGCGTAATGATTGTTTGAATTTTTGGTATAATTTATCCACTCGCCGGCCCATTCTTTACGAGACTCATTTTTATAGATCTGAGAAATTAAAGTTAAAGACATTAATTAAACATGTTAAAATAATATATACATTTTTATTATCTTTGAAAAATAATAATCTTTAAGATATGAGATCTTAGTAATTTTTTTAATTGTTATATTACAAAGGTTCGCATAATCATACAAACAAGTCGAATAGCAACATTTTGTCCCTGCGCATTCACCATTTTTAAAAATAAAGGTTTCAAGAAATATTTATTGAAACTAAAAAGAGGCCTTTAATTTTAAACTTAACCCTTATTAGACAACACCAAAATTTTATTTATTACATGTAATTTATTGATAATTAAATATATATCTATTTACCTTCGGTAAAAATGTTCAACAACTTTCTCAAACATATGTTAGTGATTCACATCTAGTAGTTTAATTATAATTTATTATTGGTAGAATTATGCACCGGAACCTACTTCAATGGTAGATACAAACGAAAATTACGGAATTTACGAAAATTATAATAAATATGCTCTTTACTTTGACTGCGTAATTTTATCAGTACAGTAGCTAATAATTATTTCATAAATAAGGAAATACTAGTATGAGATTGGTAATTAGGTAGATGAAAGTCCTATTTAAGTACAAATCTGTTAATATCATTTTGTACGGAAAATTAGCCTAATGGTTTAGTGTTAAAACTATATACAGAAAACACAGCTTTGAAATAATAATAATATTATGAATATTATTGTACTTATTATTTATAAACAAATATTAACTTTTCGATTAAATAAATAATTTAATAATTTAATTGGCTAAAAAATAGGCATTACGATTAACGAGGTAAAATTATATTATTAATTTTTAAGTAGTACTCGTACACATTAAATCTTCAAAATAATTACAGGCCTGCTGAATAATAACCGTTATAAATAAATATTTAAAGAATATTGCTATTATTAGTTTGTTAATTATGATAAAAATAGCTTTTTAGGTAAAAAGTGCGAAAAAGTAGGTATGGTTTACATATAAATAAAATGTAATTTTAATACAATGGTATATTTACCTAAAAAACTAATTACTTTTTTAATTTAAAATTTATTTTATACGTTAATCTGTTTTATAACTTATACAATGTCTTTTATATAAGTTACTTTATTTTTTTGTTTTATTTTTTGACCATTTACTTTTATACAGGGTGTCCCACAGGTAATAGTATAATGAAATGAGAGCAAAAAGCGACAGTCAATACCGAGAGCTCTCCTAGGTTAAACATAGAAGCTTTTAAAATTGCTAGGAGACGACAGAACATTGTTTTTAAAAATATTTTGTCCGACTGTGTTTACTAACCT